GACCAAATAGACAATCTAATCATTGTTACACTGTTCACCGACTACTGTTACACTTTGCACCCCCTTCCCGAAAACAGAGGTAAAAAAAAAAAAAAAAAAAAAAAAAATATCATTTAAAAAAACATACCCAACAAACCAAAACAGCCCCACCACCCAAAACACTAGTGCCATTATGGACCTTGGTACACAAAAAATAGATTAATCCTTTTCCCTACTCCAAGAAAAAAAACCCACCTCAAATTATTCTCACTACAAGAAACAAATTGAAAAGGAAAAGAAAAGATAAACCACAAGCCCACCGCAGTGTGACAAAGAAGAGCACCAGTCCAATGAAAAAAAAAAAAAATACAGTTTCGGCTCTAAATATATCAATAAGCCCTCTACAATATCTCCCCCCACCCCCCCCCGGATCCCCTCCCCTTCCACCAAACCTTTCTTTGCAACACTCAAATCATCGAACCACAAATAAATACAAATCTACCCCCCCCTCCCAACCAACGTCCTTCCCGCCCTTTTTATGCAGTAGAATCCTTTACCCACTAAAAAGTCATTCCTACCTTTGTTGAGAATAATATGCCTAATGGGTAAACAATTCTTTCATAAAATAAATCATAACTAGAAAAGAAACATGGTTGGACCAAAGAAAGGCATTTGAAAATCAACGGCAAGAAGAACAACAATATACCATGTACGAAGCAAGATGAAATGGTAGTTGAGGTAGATAGAACACAATAATAATTGTACATAAAGCAAAATGAAATAACAAAATAACGTAGTCTTGGCAGGGACGACATCGAAAGCTGGCGATGGCAAAAGCGGCCGTAGACACCCTGTCAACTGTCAAATATGTCAAGTCATGTCATTAACTTGGCCCCCCCCCCCCCACGCCCCCCCCCCCCCAAAAAAGCAGCAAAAAGCAAAAAAAAAGACAAGAAAAGTCAGTCAGAAGTGTCATGTCGTGGCACCGCACTGTGACAAGACAGTGTGGGCGCCGTGTGTCATGAGGTCACGTCAGGGACACGTCACTGTGTCGTCTGCTGCAGCTGGGATGACACACAAGTTTACGTGACACACAACAAAGACATTCTCGCCTACCTCCACTGACACTACACCGACTAGAATCTAGCTCTTTATTTGACACACGCCCTCTAAATACAACACTCACGAAAAAAAGTGAACGTACAGTATCTGCTAGCTATAATACGTAATCCTAGGGTTTTAAAAAGTGTATGTGTGTGTGTGTGTGTGTGTGAATCTATATGTGTGTGTGTGTGTGTGTGTGTGTGTGTGTGTGTTGACGTAATTCACAATATTCTATTGATCTCTGAATGGTGAAATAAAGATGCACTGATCCTTGCAAAATGAAACAAACAAAAAATTTCAAATCAAATTTTAGTGTTCGGAGCATGCTGTGAAAAATTTATGCAAGTATGTGAAAATAAATTCGTTGAGTCATTAAAAAAAATTACCGTGCACACATGCTTATTATATCTGAATATACTAGAAAATATATTACAATGCTTACAAGTAAGTGTTGGTAAATGTAAGATGCACAGTTCATGATATAGTATCAGGCTTTCAAACTTATATAAATGCAAGAGTGCAGAGCTCAAGATTACAATGTAATAATCATTAATAGGGTATCTGAGGAAATTTAGGTCAGCGTATAAAATCTTCAACATTTCTAAAAATCTAATTTTAGAATGATTAAAAATGTATGAGTAAAAATATCGCACTTGCATGTTAGCGGATTTCAGGCAAAGCAAGGGTTGGTGTGGTAAAGTGATTAGACGGGACCACATAATGAGATCAGACGTTTCTCAAAGGATGACCAAAAAATGAAATCAGGCATTTCTCATAGGATGACCAAATAATGAAATCAGGCATTTCTCAGAGGATAAGCAGGCATTTCTCAAAGGACGACCAAATAATGAAATAAGGCATTTCTCATAGGATGACCAAATAATGAAATCAGGCATTTCTCATAGGATGACCAAATAATGAAATCAGGCATTTCTCATAGGATGACCAAATAATGAAATCAGGACATTTCTCATAGGATGACCAAATAATGAAATCAGGCATTTCCCAAGGAGTGACTACTTATGAGATCAGGCACTTCTCATGCAGAATAACAAACGAACTATTCCAACAGAAAAGGAAAAAAGACACATTCAAATCAAAACAGAAGCGGGAGGGAGATAGCAAAAAGTTGGATGCTTCAACTCATTAGTTCTTGGTCTAGACAACCGAAATATATTTCCCCCTTGGGTTTACAAGTGTCAGTAAGAAGAGAAGGAGGATATTCTTTTACTAACAAAAAAGTTGTCCTATAACAAAATTTGGTCCCCGACAAAAACAGAATACCCGAACAAAGGTAGTCAAAACAGGAGGCTGGGAATGATAGAAATCAGTCTCGGTGATAAAAATAACGACAAAATTAAGGGAGGCCAAGTTAGCTGTGATTCTTAGTACGTTATCAAAATTATCATGCAAAGGAGACAGCAACAGGGCAAACAGACAAGACATACTGGTGTGCCGCCCAGAGAGGGAATTTCAGACAACCGTTGTTAGAAGCAAAAGGTTTATGATGTTGGAACAAGCTATAATGTGTAACCTTGTTAGAGTTAGTGTCAGCAAAAACAAAATGTACGGTGGATAAAGAGGATTCTATAATTGTACGTTAGGAGACTGCTAATGTGATATTATTCAGTGTACACATTGATGGTCAAATTCATTTGGTGTGAGTCACGGCCGGCCAGATTTTTCCTTCATGGAGGGGCAAAAGCTATTATCTTGGCACAATATTACGGATTCCACTCATGACCTTAAAAAAAGAAGGTTTAAAAATGAGATGCTCCATTTCAAAGGTCAGAACTGAACTTATTTGAATTTGGTTGTACTGTGCCAATTTGCTAGCCTTTGCTCCATCCATGAAGTTGAAGTGAAAGGAAATTTGAGTGGCTCTGACTTAATCAAATGAATCTGATTGTCAGTGTGCAATGGGTTTTTAGATAAGAAGTTTTAGAGGTTAAGATACTGTCTGTAATAATAGTGGTGTTGTTAGCCCACAAAAATATCTAGAGAAAGGACAGTTAGTCTAGAAGTAGTAATCAAGGGAAGGACTTTGTTTTTCTCACACTGACTCTCACACAGCCTTGTTTATTTGTTTGTTTTAGTAAGGTTTTACGGCGCTCGCAACTGCATAAAGTCATATGAGCGCCAAGGGGTGGATGTCAATGGAAAAGTCCAAACAATGAATCAGGCTTACTCTGCTCATCTCTCTAGCCTCAACAGCACAAAGTCTGCTTCGACTATCAAGGCCCCCCGGAAGTAGCAGTTCACAAGAGAGTGACAAATATACAAAAAAAAGTAGAGGAAAAATGACTAGAGTAAGCATGAGGACAGAAAAAGCAGCAGTTCCCCTAACGTTGTTCCAGCACAGTATGAGCATGACATTGATAAATCAGCCCATTTACAATTCTTCTACTGTTCATAAGAACATGTTTATATCCCCACTTTGGGAATGGCCTCAAGACACTTGAGTCAGTAGCACTGCTCTGGTAGGGTATCACACAGCCACAAGGAGAGCACAACCAATGGGAATTTCTGGTTAAAACATGATGTATTACGCCCCCTTTGACACAATTTCAGTTAACTGGTGACCGGGCCCTTTTGCATCCGTTCTGTCAGAGCCCACCACAGTCTCAGAGATTGTAAGCAAGAGCAAGGGTCTTCTTAAATGCTCCTTTCAACACTGTTAGTTTATTCAAGAGGTGAGAATTTATCATCCACCTCTGCCGCTCAAAAGAACCACCTCCTCTCAAAAGAGCCGATTAGGTTACGAGCCTTGAAAACCCTACAAAACAACTCGAGGCCAATAACACGCTGACCAGATGGGGGAGTTGAACCAGGGCATTCCGCTTTGTAGTCCAACATGCTCTTAAGTTCACAATATGATGTGCAAAATATATCATCATGGTTTGTGCTGTGATATATCTAGTATGATTGTCTGCTTATGAGTTAGTATTAATCTAAAGATTATTATATATGTACGTTCATGCATATGCATTTTGTATTATGATGAACGACTTGCAATGTGTCTCGTGTTGTATTGTACAGGAGTGGGTGCTCTATGAATTGTCATTGTCATTATTATTATCATTATTCATGCTGTAGTTATCACTATTATTACTATTATTATCATCATTATTATTACATTATAACAGCATAGGTGCCAGAACAACACATGTCATAGAATGTGTCATGTTCACAACACACAACACACTCGAATTAGCGAGCAACACGAGTGCAGAGGCCGCAGGCAGGCAGGCATGCCAGGCTGATCTCCCGAGGTGAGTACTGGGTGGGGGGAGCATCTCATCAAGACGTAGTCACGTGGGCAGACAGACAGACAGACTGACAAGCACGCACACACACACACACACACACACGATACACACACTGACCCACGGGTACGGTGCAAGCCTTCTTCATGCAGCTCAATGCCCCTCAATATCACACAATCATTACGACAGACAGACAGACTGACAAACACACACGCACGCACACGCACACACACACACTCACACACACATATACACACACACACAATGACCCACGTGTACCGGTATGGTGCAAGCCTTCTTCATGCAGCTCAATGCCCCCAATATCACACAACCATTACGTGCGTGGACACTCAGGTGTCAGACGAGACTGTGTGAGCACCAAGTAAGAGTAATCAAAGTCGAAGAATATGGTGTGAGTCAGGGTGAGAGAAAAACAAAAAACAAAACCACCCAAAACAATATTAGTTTCCTTCACTTCCAAAAATGTAAAAAGAGAGTGCAGAAGTGTCTCTGGCAATGAGCAGGCGCCAAGAGACACGCAAGACGTGGTGCTTAAAAAAAAAAAAGAAAAAAGAAGACAAGACAATTGAGGAGATTGTCCAAATGAAAAGGTAAAAAAGAGTGGTTGAAAAAAAGGTAAACGTGACCTACCATGGCGCCAAACGTTGCTGACAAATCCTTCAGAAAACAAAAAGTGGTCATATCTCAGTGTTGCAGTCTGTATGTATGGGTGGCTGTGTGGGTGGGTGGGTGGATGGGTGGGTCAGTGGGTTGGGAAGGCCGCAGAGAGGTTTTTGTTTCTGCCCAGCGCATATTGCAGAGAGTTTCGTCAATTCCCTAGCTGACAGGGTTCGATATATTGGAAGATAAGTAGAGTGCACACTTTCCCAAACTGACATCTGCTCTGTTTGTGATCATATTTAATTAACACATCTCTGTTTGACATGATTTGATACATTTGAAGGATGGCATCTCCAAGAGCATGACATATTAACTTGACCTCTGCTTAGCTCGATCAAACTTAACCCAGAGTTCCACCTGAGCATATTGCTTTACATGTGCAAACAAAAGATCTAACCTGCAAAACACAGAAACTTTAAGATTTATTGTTGTCATCAAACCTATCAAACATATCAAATTGTGACCTAGAAAATCAAAACAGTTTAAGTTTGGAGTTTTAGAGAATATGATCAAACTGTACCAAAATGGCAGGTTTTTTTCTTCTTTTACCCTTGTGGGACAGAAAACCTGACCACCATCAAATGTATCAAACTAGAGGTATGATGAAACCTCTTGCAATGTGCACTGGCCGTTATGTGAACCTCTGCTAATGCTTGTAGCTATTTGTGTCTAAAAGCTGTTTTTTTAAAAACTCTGACGGCATCGACGAAGGCATAGCAGGGACGACCGTGGACACAACTAGCTATATTATACATGAAAGTGGGAGGTGTTGTAGTTGTAAACTGTAGGCCTATTAATGAAAGTTGACTGGGAGCAAGTGGCCACTTTGTAAAAGTTGTATACACCTGGAAAATGTTGCTGGCATAATTATAGAAACTATATTTACATACAGAAAGCGCCAAGTTCTTAATCAAGTGAAGGAAGTAAATTGAATCAAAATAGAGAAAAAGACGCTCAAATCCAAACAGTGAAAGGCAAAATAGAAAATACACAGAAATAAAGTGTTAAAAGTGGTAGATAGAAAGAAATCTCTCCAATTGTCAGTAATATACGCTGAATAATGCGATTAAATATAAAGTGTTGCATATTTCATTACATTAATTAGTCTTGTATACCTAAACTTTTTCTTATAGCACTTTTCAATATGTAGGCCTATGGAAAAACAGTGAAGGGGCAACTGCACAAGTCAAAGTCTGTCTAGGTTCAACTTTACCAACTTCTGAAACATAACTTTTTAATTTTAACTGGCAGAATGGAGTACACGAACTGCAGAGTGTGAAAATCTGATGGAGAAAGGAAAAGCCCAAGAGCAGAGATATCCTCCAAGCTTGCAGATGAGAGCACAGACAGTAAAGGAAAGCGCATGAGATCAACTGGCTATTAGTAGATACAAAATGTCAACCTCTATGCGCAGTTACGCTGAACAGACGCATCTTGAGACCACCACACAAGTATGTCACCATGACAACACTCATTTAGAGTAAGGGGGGGAGAGCAAGATACACAAACTGAGACAATGGAAGGAAAGAAAAGAAGTAGGACAAAAGACTAACAGTGGCGCCATCCAACCACCACCAGCAGCAGGCTGTCACTGATTGACGTCATGTCTTGCATGGAAAGTGACATTTATGATCAGCTTCATTTGTAGTGTAGGCCAACACAAGAAAAAAAAAGGGGGAAAGAAAAAGAAAGACACCTTGCCAACATATGGCTTTTGGGACTAGTATAGTGCACTTGTACTTACATGACCAACAACAAGAACAACAGCAACATAAAAAAGAACAGTTTCCACGACGATCAGCAGCTTCAGGGCGTCAACTAAAAGTGCCTGGTTGGAGGGTACCGTACAAAGATGCGTCTGATATCATAACTAACACTTTACATGAAGACAAATGATGATGTTGACAATGATGATCAAAGAGGGAAATACACACAGACAGACACAGTTTGAACAGCTGTGGACAAACTCCCGATGACCATCAACCACTCAGCTGTCCACACAAAGACAACAAAACCAACAACAACACCAGTATCTTGTACACAATATTTGGAAGCACATCTCTAGATGATCGGGAAGGGAAAGATACGAAGGCACAGTTTGGGTAACAGGGGACTCTTGATCAACCAGACTCCCAGACAAAGACAACGGCCCACAATATCTGGTACACAATACAACTGTATCTGGTACACATTATTTGGAAGCACAGTTCTTGATGACCGGGAGGGGAAAGACACAAAGACACACTTTAGGGACTCTTGGTCAACCAGATACCAAGACAAAGATATCCGACCACAACACATGTATCTGATACACAATATTTGAAAACACAGCTCTAGATGACCGGGAAGGGAAAGACACGAAGGTACAGTTTGGGTAACAGGGAGGACTCTTGACCAAAGAGATGTCCACACAAAGACAAAACCAACCATAACACATGTATCAGGTACACCATATTTGGAAGCACATCTGTAGTTTATCAGGAGGGGAAAGACACGAAGACACAGTTTAGGGACTCTTGATCAACCAGATACCAAGACAAAGATATCCGACCACAACACATGTGTCTGGTACACAATACTTGGAAGCACATCTCTAGATGCTCAGGAAGGGAAAGACACGAAGGTACAGTTTGGGTCACAGGGGACTCTTTTTCAACCAGATACCAAGACACAACATGAGTATCTGATACACAATACTTGGAAGCACATCTCTAGATGCTTAGGAAGGGAAAGACACGAAGGTACAGTTTAGGTCACAGGGGACTCTTGTTCAACCAGATACCAAGACAGACAAAAAAACCAACCACAACACGAGTATCTGATACACAATATTTGGAAGCACATCTCTAGATGATCGGGAAGGGAAAGGTACAAAGGTACAGTTTGGGCAACAGGGGACTCTCGTTCAACCAGATACCAAGACAAAGATATCTGACCACAACACATGAATCGGACACATAATATTTGGAAGCACAGCTCTAGAGGAACCATCACAACATCCGCCACTAAATTTACTAAGCTATCTTGGACAAAACACTGGAAACTTTTAGTACAAAACAGAGGGCAGATAGAGAGGAGGAGCAGCACAATAACTTTCTGAAACACTGGGATAAACTCGGGACTACAAAGGTCAACGGTCAGATCTGGATGTAAGTAGAGAGGAATTGCAAAAGGAGGGTACACACTTAACATGATCATCATACTACAGGAGGAAAGAATAGCCTGATCTCAAACTTCTTACAACTAATTCTTTAAAGTATAAAAAATTTTAAAATTTAAAAAAAATTAATGCACAAAGTCTCAAATGCATTTATTCGCCTATTTGCCTGTACGCGTCTTAACAATTGTGTGCCTAACATCAGCTCAATGACTACGAGAAATATAAAAAGGAAGGAAAAAAAAATAAAATAAAAATAAACACAATAAAAAATTTTAATCGACTTCAGCTAATGAACAATAACTACCTAAAATATGGATGAACAACTAACAAGAAAAAAGCGATACTTAAGGCGTTTTGGAAAAAAAAAAAAAAATCAAACACACACACACACACAACACAGCAAACTGGAAAGATACGAGTGTAATGTTGAATTTTGGAATATATTTTTTTCTTTTATGCAAGAGTATCAGTTAATGTTACAATGTGGCTTAAGTATATTTTTTAAATTCAGGCCATTCCATATTATAAGCACTGTACTGGTGCATGCAGTGAGTATTTTGTCTTAATAAATAAAATGTTCATTATAATTGGAATTATTTCCATGCAGGCTTGGTTGATTAGTGAGAGATGCCCTGGATGTATCTGACAAAATATCTTCATTTTGAATGATTTACAGCGTGGAATAAACCATGGATATGCTGAAGATGACAAAATATGTCTGTCTGTCTGTACAAAAAAAAAATCCCTTAAATCTTTGTACGTGTTTTTGTGTGTTGCTAATGCTAATAAAAGAAACAGATTTAAAAGCTTTGTTCACAAAAGGCACATGAAGTACACCTAAAGGCAACTGAAAATACTTGGAGGTATACTCTTCCAGAAACACACACACACACACACACACTGATATCAAAACAGATACAAACACAATGACACCAAAAGACATACCCACACACGTTAACATACACACACCGACATTCAAAGAGATACCGACACACATAGATATATACAAACACACTTCCAACTGCTAGGTGTGAGACTCCGTACACACATGTTCATTAATTTTTAAGGTGCGATAATTTTTATTAAGGTAATGCGCACTGAGCATTTTTTAGAAAATGGAAATGCACAGCATACATGCTATTTATTATCATTATTATTATTGTTATTATTATTATTACTTAGGTCACTTTTTGAAGCCGAATATGGTGGAGTCTAACACTAAGCATTGGACTTACAAACATAATTTTTATCTCTAAAAAAAAAAAAAATTCTCAAAATCAGTGCCATAAACTTAATAGACCTTTAAATGTTTTATATAGACCTCTAACAGCGACACCCCCCCCCCCACCCCCTCCGTCAGTCTCTCTGGAGAGAAATATTGAGAACCAGCTCTCAATACATACTACCTGTCCAAGATAACCACCTGTACAGACGGCCAGGATGTTGTCTCACTAACAAGGCAATCCCCAATGACCGCATCGGATGTGGGAAATACTTTACTCAAAATTGACATTGACCAAGTGGACAACCTGTCTAAGATGACCACTTTCCTCCTCCACAATGGGATGGTCGTCTTGGACAAGTTGGATTTTATTCTCCTCTGCAGATGCAGAGGACCAATCATTTGTACACTCTACTGATTAGGTAGGACCTGCTTCTCCAAAGCACAACACCGTAAAAAATATAAGCCACTGTACAAAGCCAAGAAAAACATGTACAAATAAATCGTCGGCCAGCTACCCAAATGTACTTAGCCCTAAATTTAAAAAAAATACATTTTTTCAATTTCTTAATCTGTCGCATCAGTAGCATATGCTCGAGAAATGTTTTGTCAAAAAATTCAACAACCCCCACATGTTGAGAAAAAACAAAGGCAAAAAAAAAAGATCATAATTTAGGAGGTACAATTAAAGGAC